GTGAAACTCGGTGTATCTTTAGTTCTTTCAAATGGCAGTGCTCCATCAGCCTTAGGGTCTGGGTGTCTTAAGCAGCTGTTGTTTGCTCTCCAGGGCAGAGAAAGTAAAGGACATGATGTCTTAGGTGCTTATGCTAGGAGTTTAATACAAATACATCACTGAGAGTGTAGAGGGACTTGGCTTCTTTGGATGAGCAGGTGAATGAGGCTGCGATGGGTGGAAGCATGGGAAGCCTTTTACAGGAGTGTCTTGGCTCACCTGCTATGAGAATAAAATGAAACCACAAAAGAAAGCCTGGTTTCTTTGTGGTGGGGGAGAAAAGTCAAAGAATTCTAAGTCTGGCTGATAATTGAAGAATCAGTAAAAAGAAGAAAAAAAACCAACCCAAGAACACTGCACTCAGAAACAAAACTAAGAAAAATACGTTTTCCACTTGAAGACAACCCTGAGCAGAGCGTGTTCTGTAATGGGAAACAAATTGGCACCAAATGTGGAAGGAAAAAAAGTTTTAAGAGACGCGTAGGAGAACTTCTTGCATCTCTAACTGTAGTACTTCATGAAATGTCCAGATACAGCAAACACTGCACAGTGGTTCTTTTAAAATACGTGGCATCGTTTTTGCACATTCTCTCAAGTTCACCGTTCGGCGTTTTGAATGTTTGAGTTTGTGGGTTTAGGGCTGACAGGCTCTTGTGACTTGCTGTTTTTTAATCTGCATCAGAAATGTAACTTTGACAAATGGTGCTGCACAGTCACCTTCATGAAATGTGATCGTGTAACGTGTACATAACGAGCATTTAGCTGCTGTGGTAATAAGCACTGTACAGTCAACAAAATGGTATAGCGGCGCTCTGCGTGCTTTTCAAATGGTACCAAATACACATCTGAGTGAGACAGAAATAGCAAGTTTAGTTCTAGCTGCAGTACAAATGATTCATACAGGTGACTGAGGAAGAGTTTTGGAGTTGTCAAGCTGAAATCTGAAGGGTTTCTGGTATAGGGGCTGCTTTGGGGATAGCGTTGTCGCACAAGGGTGTTCACTGGTCCAGGGAAGTGGTGTGTGCGTGGTAACTGCCGTGCGTCTCCTTAATGCCGCATGGTTTGAGTTGAGGCCCTGCTGTCTGCCAGTTTAAGGGTACTGCTGCATCGGTAAAAAATGAGCCCGGCATTAGCTGGTTTGAAGGTCAGTCTTCCTGGGTGTCTTGGGATCGCTATTAAACTGTTTTAAATGTGTTTTCAAAACACACGTAAATGCCAAGGATTTTTATCAGGATTTGTCATTAGATTAATGAATTATTGACTCTGTGGAACAGTTTTTTCTTTACTTACTGGTGACTGATGGGGATTTTAACCAACGTATAAATGCATGCAGTACCCCAGATAGTTAACTATTAGATGAACACAGCAGTTCCTGGGATGTCTTGCCCTTCCTCAGACCCTGCTAAAAAGCTGAACGAGTGAGCCTTCTCCCAGGAGCAGGGCCGCAGCGCTGCACTGATGAGACTCCGGAATCTGCAGGCACAGAACCAACTCGGGGACTGGTTCCTTAATCACTTTAATCTGATTTAACTGCAGGCTGCTGCCAAAAGGAGTGGCGCTCCCTGCCCACTGCCTCGGGCTGCGTATTCCACCTGCGGTTCAGTGGCTGTGAAGCACATCTCTGTCTCTGCATTGGAAAGGGCTGATGTAAGGCATTAATGAAAATTGTCCTAAAGTAGAAATTCCTGCAATATTTATCTTCGGTAATTCTTATACTGCTGTTCTTGAGCTCTGCCACAGATCTTTCAGTTCATTCAAATTTGTATTCATTAGAGATAACATAACATCTGTTTTGTTCTAACTCAGTCTTGGGCTGAGAGTGCCAATAATGATAAAATCTGTAAAAATGGGACTTCAGCTGCAGTTTACTAAGTTACTTGCCTTCACAGTGAGCTCAGATTTTATGTCTGTGCTTCTGTATGTGTCATTGACTTCTACCATACTTCTTTATTTACCAGTTCATGAAAAAATACTGGTAGTTAAGTGTGAACACTAAGAGCCTTTTTAATGAAAGCCTTGATGGTTCTGAGAAATTTAGAAAGCAGCTGGAAGCAGGACTGCTTTGTTGGGAGCGTGAAGCGTGTGGCGTGCCTAGATTGTGCAGCTCCCTGAGGCAGTGTCTTTTTATGGCCTCACCATGTTTCCCTCCTCCACAGAGCTACCAAGAAAAATCTTGGGTTGTAAAATACTTGACTATATCCTAACGGGATTCAAATTTAAATATTAATATTATGAAATGTCAAGAATGAAATATAAAGAGAATCACGGGAACAATCAGAGTAGCTGATACACTGCTTTGACCTGGGAGGACATACACTGTCATTCTTAAATGGTGCTGTAAGTTTATAGCTAAAAGATCACTCTAGTCTTTGAGATGCTAGAAGTATTTTGGACATTTTTGGCTGTTCTGAGGATTCATAAATGATTCAGAAGCTCCCTGGTCCTGACACGTGGAAACGTTGGTCACTTGTTACCGAAATCGTTGTCAGTACTGATTTTCACCCCACCTTTCCTGGCTGTGTATGAAAGACAGTGGGATGGCTTGAGATACGTCTTCTAACAAAAACATAAAGAAGAAGGGGTGAAGAAGCAGCAAACGTCTCCTTTCTGTCCCATTTGTACCGTGTGGCAGCAGAACTCTGACAGTGTCTGGTGCAAAGGCAGGTGGTGCTGGTGGTGAACTGGAGTTGACACCACGGACTTAACCTGATGTTCTGTTGCAAAAGACATCAACCTCTGCCACTTTGTCTGGAAAGAAAGGAAGATATGACTTAGATGAAGATTAGTATTAAAGATGATATCCTTATTCTTTGTGTATATGAACATCATTTATTTGTTTAAAGAACAGGCCTTTTCTCCTAGGTAGGGCCAGGTTGAAAAGTGAATGAGTTGTTCAACAGCGTGGGCAGGACGGGCTCTGCTGCGGTGCAGCCTTCGCTGGGTGAAGGGAGCAGGGGTTGTTGAGGCACGTTGCCCTGGGACACAACTTTAATTGTCACTTTAAGATAGGTAAAAGGAGTTCCCTGGAAGTTAGAGAGCAGAAAGACCATTTCCTCAGAAGGAACTGGCTCTTAGTTGACACAGGGACGTACAAGGAGTTGCTTGCTTAGAGGGCGGTAGCGTGGTTTTACTGAGAGCTTGTGTATAACTGGGCCTGTAATTGTTGTTCTTTATGTTCTAGCCCCTATTTGAAAAGCAGTGTTTTGATAAGTAAAGGCTTCTTTGCACAGTGTCTGTTTTTCCACAGTCTGATGTTATATATGCTGAACATAACAAAATAGCTGAGATCCTATCTGAAAGGAGGAATAATCACGGGGATGCTGTCATGTGCTGGTGGGAGGAGGTTTCTGAGCGTAGCTCTGCTGTAGGAGAAGGTTTTTACTTTACTATTTGTTTTTCAAAACAAGAGAATAAACAAAGCCTGAGCAGATTGCACCAAAAGCTGACTTAGGAGCAATGCTGAGTGAAGAACTCTGCTCAGAGAAACAAATGCATTTTAACTGAAAAACTCTACGAGTGTGATGGCTCCGGTTTTTTTTATTATGCTCTTCTAATGCTGCTGCTTTGTTAAAAAGAGGCTTTTTTTATAAGGGTAGGGATCTTGCAGGCAAGCAAGGCAGTAAGAAAGCAGCATCCTTGAAGACAGCGTAGTTACATTAGATAATAAGGGTTGGTGCCATGGATGATTTTTTAAATTGTTGTTTATTTTGTAACCTTGTTCTTTTTTACTTCCCATTACTTATGAGTCTTTTGTTATACTTTCAGCGTAGATACAGTTATTGATGTTTGTGCTAAAGTGCTTGCTTTTTACAGTTCAGGTTTTCCTTCCGTTGTTACAAAATGCAAGATATTTAAAGGGTGAGTGTCACGAGGATGGAGCCAGGCTCTTCTCGGTGACAAACAATGATAGGACAAGGGGTAATGGGCACAAGCTGGAACACAGGAGGTTCCACTTAAATTTGAGAAGAAACTTCTTCTCAGTGAGGGTGACAGAGCCCTGGACCAGGCTGCCCAGAGAGGTTGTGGAGTCTCCTTCTCTGGAGACATTCAAAACCCGCCTGGACGCCTTCCTGTGCAACCTCATCTGGTGTTCCTGCTCCGGCAGGGGGATTGGACTGGATGAGCTTTTGAGGTCCCTTCCAATCCCTAACGTTCTGTGATTCTGTGATTAAGCAGGATATGAGGCTTGGAAAAGTCTTTAGATGGGCATCTGAAGTAGCAGCAGGTCTGTAGACTCTACTAAACTGGTGAAATCACTGTCAGATAAGTTGGACCAATTTCAACATGTGCCTGACTTGAAATGAGCAGAGAAGACATTTTATTGGACAACTTGGAATTCGGCAGAATTTTTCATTAGTTCTGCTGTGGAAATCTCTCTCTTCCCTTCCTCTGCTGCTGGGCTTTGAGTGCGCTTGCTGTTCTTGCAAGCTCTACCGCTAGATGTTGCTATACGAGTGATTGATACCATCTTGTCTGATGCTCCGTGGATCAGTCCCTCAAGAAAAGGAGGAGATAGCACTGAAACAGCATTACTGCCTATTCTGAAATTACTATTACTATTCTGAGACGTTTGCATGAGACGTTTTTAGAATTTACTGGCTCTGTTACATTAGTCATAAAGCTTGTTTCTCTCTTGTACACCCAGCAGTATGCTGGTCATTATTTCCAATTAGGCAGGCTTTGCTTTTCATGTCTGTAGAGCTCATGGCCTTGGTAGTGAGGAAAAATGGCAATAAAATGTAACTTGGCCCAAAAGGTTTTTGCAGCAGCTCTGTTCTGTAGCATCTGTAGCTTTTCATTCAATGAAAGGTGGCAGGAAGACAATTGCTCTGTGTTCCAGCATGAGGAATAATCACTTTTCAGGGGAAATTTTGTCTTCGCTTTGGCTGTTCTTTATGCGCTGCCTTTTTGGTGAAGGATTGCTTACCTCCTTGGGGGTTTGCTGTGTTTATTCTACACAGAAGTCTACAAATAGAAGAGCTCCATCAGGGTGAACTGAAGTTAATCTTAAGGAAAAATTTCATTACATGGATTGTGTAAACTCACTGAGACAGAAGTAAAGCTGGAAAGAAATCTACAAGTGAATAAAACAAGAAGTTTGGAATTGGATTTGGGGAATCTGGGCTTGGAAATGCCTCAGGTAAGTCTGTTATGATTTGATTTGCTTCTGTGAATAATTTAGCTTCCTTGTCTAAAAAAAAAATAATAATAAAAATAGTTTAAGAGCAAATTTGACTGGCATTAGCAGAGAGAATTTATAAGAGATTAAATGGTGTATATGCTTTAGAGTCCCAGTAGTGTCTCTGGTAGGAGTTGCGTTGCTGCTGTTGGTACTTTATTTGTTCACCCAGCAAGATTCAGCAAAGTTGTCTTGATGCCGATGGATGCCTGGAGAGCAGCCTTTTATTGCTGCAGGGGTTCACACATCAGCACACGGGATGACTTTCAGCAGCACAGTGTTTCTCCATTCCCAGCCCTCGGGGCGAGTGTGTCTAGAAGAGAAATAGAGGTCTGGAATTAAATGTAGCAGAAAGCCTTGCTGTCCATTCCCTGCGTGCCCAGTCATTGTGCATCATGATTTTTGGTAGAGTTCAAGAGAGAAAACACTCTGGATTTAGTTGTAATAAATTTTGCTACGCTCTCAGGTGCAAGTTTTATGAGTTTTAATGGTTCTAAAAGCAGTCAATGCTGCTTTAGTACAGAGTGGTTTGTATTAGGGTGAAGGCCCTGCAAGCGTCTAGTGCCTGTTGGTGCTCACAGATCTTGCCAGTAAATAGAGGCTGGAATTAAATGTAGCAGAAAGCCTTGCTGCCCATTCCCTGCGTGCCCAGTCATTGTGCATAATGATTTTTTGGTAGAGTTCAAGAGAGAAAACACTCTGGATTTAGTTGTAATAAATTTTGCTACGCTCTCAGGTGCAAGTTTTATGAGTTTTAATGGTTCTAAAAGCAGTCAATGCTGCTTTAGTACAGAGTGGTTTGTATTAGGGTGAAGGCCCTGCAAGCGTCTAGTGCCTGTTGGTGCTCACAGATCTTGCCAGTACTTGCTCTCCTCTTCTACAAATGCTAACGTATCCCTAAACTTGGCAAAAGCACGAGAATTTCAAACCCACAAAAAAGAATGAATGAGCAATGCTCTTGCAGCTATATGATGAATACAAATGTGTCCTTTGATTGAAGAGCTGCATGCTGTTAGCTGCTCTTAAAGCATTCTCTCGCTCTGAGACATGACATGCTTATCTGTGTAGGTAAAAACCTTCCAGCTGCAGGTATAGCACAAGTTCAGAGACTTGGATGAAATGGTGATACTCTTTATGTTTTGTTGAAGAAAAGAGTATGCCTTTTTATAGCATGCTTCAAATGTCAGTATCGATTTTGTCGTAGCCCAGTGTGAGTGGAATGGACCCTCCTTTTGGGGACGCCTTTCGGAGCCATGTGTTTTCAGAGCAGACTCTGATGAGCACGGATCTCTTGGCAAGCAGTTCAGATCCAGACTTCATGTACGAACTGGTAGGTAATCTGTGTGTGTACATAACTTCGTCTCCTTGTCTAATACCCTCAGTTCACGTAGTATAAAGGAGTATTTGTTCAAGAATGCTAGAAGATTATTCATTACTGCTAGCTACTGATGAGGGAAGAGCCTAACTGCTTGTCCAGCAAACGTGATGCTTCCTCAAAAGAAGCTTGTTAAAGCTGGCCATCAGGAGAGGCTTGAGATCCAAGTCTCAGATTGAGCTGTGTTGTTTTTATGTAATGGTGCTTGAGACTCTTCCTCACAATCTTTTCTGCAAGAACAGCTATATGCCACTTCACCCAAGCTGTGAATGCAGGGAAAGCAAAATAAAAGTTGACTCATGAGCTACTTGTACTAGCTTTTTTTCCCCTCTGCATCAAAGGAGAAAGATAGCTCATCGTTGTTAGTGATCATGTTAGAACGAGGTTTTCCAGGGACTGGTAAACTTGAGCGTATTCTGTTAAGCACACAGCAAAGATTGACCTAGGTTAATAGAGACTGGAACAGCTTGCCTGTGATGTCTTTCATGTTTTAAATACATGGCTATTGGTACTAGTTTAGTTCCTGATGACCAGATGAATTTGCTATAGCAGAAGAAGAATCCAGCAGCATTTTACTTGTATCTTTAGCAATCCCTTCAGATGGATCAGCTGCTGAAGCATGGAAGCTGGACTTCAGTCTGACCCTCACAAAAGCTTTTAGCTGGAAGTTGAGGAATCTTCGTTATGTTATCACTCTCTTAGAGTTCATTGGAATTAAGGTTGCCATACTAGATTGAGTAGAGGACAGAGATGATTGATACATTTTTAATTGTATTAATTTTTAACTTGTAATTTTATGAACAGGACAGAGAAATGGACTATCAGCAAAGCTCCAGAGACAACTTACTTTCGATGGAGGACTGCAAAGACCTTGAGAACTTGGAGTCTTTTACGGACATCCTGGACAAAGAAGCTGCTCTCACCTCCAAATGGGAGCAGTGGGACACCTACTGTGAAGACCTAACAAAGTACACTAAATTAACCAGCTGTGACATCTGGGGAACAAAAGAGGTGGATTACTTGGGCCTTGATGACTTTTCAAGCCCATACCAAGATGAAGAGGTGATAAGCAAAACACCAACACTGGCTCAGCTTAACAGTGAGGACTCCCAACCCGTTTCTGATTCACTCTATTACCCTGATTTGCTCTTTAGTGTAAAACAAAACCCTTTAAATTCTTTGTTACCTGGCAAAAAAATTGCAACCAGAGCAGCAGCCCCAGTCTGTTCCTCCAAAAACGTTCAGGCTGAGGCACCTTTGTCGGACTGTGTTCAGAAGGCAAGCAAACCTGCAACTCAGCCTGCTTCCAGTGCACAAATCATGGTGAAGACCAACGTGTACAATAACGAAAAGGTGAACGTTCATGTTGAATGTAAAGACTATGTTAAAAAGGCAAAAGTAAAGATCAATCCTTTACCACAGAGCAGGCCGGTGCTGAGCCAGGCACATGCTGATGCAGCAAAGGAAAACACCTGCTATTGTGGTGCTGTAGCAAAGAGACAAGAAAGAAAAGGAATAGAGTCCCCCCATAGTCACAGTACACCTCCTGTTTTGCCTTTTAAAGAGACTCAAGAGCTCCTCCTCAGTCCACCCCAGGAAACCCCAGGGCTTATTGTGGGGGAGAGCAGTCTTTCTGCCAGCACATCGGTGTCGGATTCTTCACAGAAGAAGGAAGAGCACAACTATTCCCTTTTCGTAACGGACAGTTTGGGTGAGCAGTCAGCCAAAGGAGACCTCGAGGAAGACGAGGATGATGAGGACGATATTGAAGATGAGGACCATGATGAAGGATTTGGCAGTGAGCACGAGCTGTCCGAAAACGATGATGAGGAAGAAGATTATGAGGACGATAAAGATGATGACATCAGCGATACTTTCTCAGAGCCAGGTACCAGCAATGTTGGGGCGTTGTTAACGTGAAGGTTAATGGATTTGTCTGCCAAGCGGGAGAGAATGCTTTTGAATGCTGTAGAGTTACACATGAGTAACACTGATCATTTAAATGATGAACTTTCATCCCAGATTTTCTGAGTGCTTTGCAAAATGGTATTAATGAAAACTGTACAGGGTCTCTGTTGCCCTGTTTCAAGAAAAACTGCATAAACTGTGGTCGTGCAACAAAAGTTATAATGGAGAATACAGGAAACCTAGCTTGCGGCCTAAGGTCGTAGAGCAACTACCTGCAATTGTTGTGTTCCTTTTTCATGGCTTGATGATAGGATGTGCAGAGCTCTCTAGTGCTTCATTAGGTTGCTGCTTTGAATTTATCCAGAGTTGTATCTCTTGATAGCTGGTATGAAATCATAACCTGGATGAAATAACTGAATAACTACTTAAGTCATACTGTAGGTACAGTTTTCCACAGAATCCAAAGAGCACCTCCCACTGAAACTAACAGAACCATTTCTTGGTGGTTCTCAGTAGTAACACTTAGTGGGTCTTCAAAGGATGCTGAATCCTGCTCTCCTGCATGTAGAAATGGAGCCTTAACAGCAGAAATAAGAACTCACCTTCACCTAGAAGGTAACAAAGCAGTAACATAGTGTAAAAATAAAACCTGAATGGAAAGGGACAGGACTGCAGCCAAGTATTAGTTTCATTGTAGAAAGTGTTATAATACTCACATTTTATAAACGCTTTCTAGTAGAGTATAATAATTAAGGTATTCAGACATTTGCAATGTGTAACTTCAGGGGGGAAAGAAGCTGAAATTTTGCCTTTTTAAAAACAGCAGCTTGCCTAAAGCTTGTCAGTGTTTGTCACAATGAACTCTCAGATTAAATTACTTTCGAAATAGATTTCCTGACTTGGTATTAAATTTGTTAAGCATTATACCCTTTGTGTTTCTTGTACATAGCACATCTTCATTAGCATTTTAAAACCTCTTCCTCCCTTCTGAATTGAACTCCCTCTACTTTCTGGGGCTCTGAATAGCTGTTACAGCTTTGTAATGATCTCTGTACCACACAGTGCTGTGCAGCCCACCGAGGCGTGTTGCACAGAAAGCCTGGTAACCTTGGAAAAGAGGTGCCATGTGAAAACGCTGGGGTTTGAGTTGATGGAATGACATTAACTATTTGCTGTTTGTTCAAATTTCACTAACAAGCAGTCACTCCCACCTTGAAATACAACTACGTGGTGCAGTACAGTAGCTGAGGAACTTGGCTCATACGAGCTTCCCAGAACTTGTAAGTGAATGAAGCCATTCCCCTCAACTATGATGATATTATCACAAGTTTTACCGTATGTTTTGATTATATTAGAAGGTGATATCTCCAGATATTTTAGTCATGTCACTCTTGTACTTTGTGTTGCTTTTTTACCTTTAGAGTAAAGGTAAATACTATGGATAAAGTTTCTGAAAATAGGCATGGCACGGGAAGATTTAATCTTCCATAGTAATGAAACCAAAATCAGTTGATAAGTTTAGAGTGAAGATGCAGTTTGCTGAAAGGAAAAAAATGTGCTAGTTATTGCTGACCCTTTGATTTAGACACAGTTTGCTTTGTATATTGTGTTTGCTTTTGTTTATTCTTGATGTATGTCTTTGGAGTGCATTAAATGCTTTCTTAGAGCGTTAGTGTTGTCTGAGGAGATGCTTAGATATAGTGAGTATCAGGAACTTGGAGAAATAACTATAAATGTGACTGGCCTTCTGGCAAGTTTGGGCAACGCTGTTTTTATTATCACCATGATACAGATTTAGCAGTTTTGGGCCCCTGCAAAGGTAATTTATTATGGGAATTACAAGCCCATGCCTTTCCTAGCACTTAACCTTTTTTTGCCATTACTAGTATGTTTTACCTGTCTCAATAGAAATATTTGTAAATGACTGCTTCTCCCATCAAGTAGTGGAGAGGTTCCAGAAATGGGAGGTGCAACGTCTGGTTCAGTTTTCAGTAGCAGTGGAGAAGAAATGGCTGAAAGGGAAAAGTGCTTGTGGAAACATGGAGGTTGTTTAAACCTGGACAGCTGTTATTTCTATATATATAAAAAACATACACGTGTGTGTGTGTGTGTATATGTATATATACATGCATACATACATACATATATATATATAGATATAAACACTGGATAACTAACTGAGCACCTGGACCATCAGTTGGGGAAAAAAGACTTGTAAACAGTTTGACAGAATTTGGTATGATTAAATGGTAAAGAGAAGGTTTTTTTCTGGTTGTGTTTTGGTGGGGTTATTTTTGCATTTGATCTGGTAAGATGCAGTACTCGTGTCTATCCTGTTCTCTGTTTTACTTAATTTAACCCTGGTGAATTTAATCCTAAAACCATAATGAGGGATGTGAACGTAATTTTTTGAGGAGGGACTGGCAAAGGGCTTGAAAGGTAAATAAAAGAACCCTTTTGGATTTCTGAGAAGCCCACCGGAAAGTGAGACTGCTGCATGATCTTCGCTAAGAGGAGAAGTCAAGGAAAATGAATACAGTGCAGAAAATCTGAACAGATTTGTTGCACTCCTGTGTGTTATGGACTGGGTTGGGACGTGGTGCACCAGATTATTCCATGTAACTTTAAAGTCATAGCAGGTCAGTGGTAGAGTTGCAAGGCAGGATGCATTAAGTCAACATAATTTCAATTGCTAACTTATTTATGGTTTAAATAAGCAAACAGGAAGTCTTGATTTTAACCTCGTTTTACATTTGTACATGTCAGCTCTTAAAGAGATTTGTTTTCATCAGTTGGCTTAATGCTGTGTTATCATGAAGATGGGCCGAACTGATACATGTCTGTATAATGAGTTACACAGCTTGACATGGTTTTTCAAGTGGAAAGTAAGTGGGTTTTTAAGAATATTTTTATACTGATGTCAAACAGCATTTGGGTAGAATGGAAGTACAGTTTAAGATATTTATGGTATTTGAAACTATATTTAATGTAAATTGTCATAATCATTTTGGCTATCCAGGAAAACAATGTGCTTCATTGTTTTATTTGCCTTTAAAATACTGTCTTTTTAATAAACTAAAAATCAAAGTAAATGAGCTGATGAAGTGACTAGAAACAGGACTTTAGACCTGATTTAATTGCTCTGTGCACCTAACATTTATTCATACTTACTCGGACCAAACCAGCAAAGTTTGTTTTTCCTCTTTCAACTGGTTTTTCGAGTGCAAACGGACCAATTGAATGGACTGTTTTAAAAAGAGGAAAGTGTTCTTTGTGCTGCTGTTAGAAGATGAAGGAGAGCTCAGGCATATGGGGTCAAGGCTTGTTAAGCTGACGGTCTGTTCTGTTCAGTGGTTGGCTTTTCTTTAAGCTCCATCAGTGTATGCGATGTTTTGAAATGCATTCTTTAAGTAAACGTGTACTGTTGCATAGCATTTTACTACAAAAGGTGATGCAGTGGTTTGTTGGGCGTTTTTAACCATAGTATAGGTTGTCTTTATTTTCTAAAGCATATGTAGGATTTTTAAAACTGGTTTGTTTACATAATTATGGTATAAATATTTATGCAATGTGGATAGTGGCATTACACTTTCCATGTGCTTCAGGAAGAGTTCATCGTATCAAGTGCATCATAATATACCTCTAAAATACCATGTAGCTTTACTATGGATCAGTTCTCTTCATCCCACTAAAGAGGTGAGGGAGAGATTGAAGAGCCTGTGTCCAGATCCCTTCAATTTAGATGGCCTTTTCTTACGGGCTTTGGGTCATTGTCCTGATAACAGAGCCCCTTCCTTTAGTCTGATGGAGATGGGTGGTTTGATTTATTTCCCAAAGGTATTCAAACTCCAGGAGCAGCAGGAGTTGGACTTGATGATCCTAATGGGTCCCTTTCAACTCAGAATAATCTATGACTGAATAATTTTGCTTTCTTTATTAGCATTTTACTAATCCATCTTTATTATCGGCTTCTCTTTCCATGCTTTTTGATTAGAGATTAATTAAAATGTGGAGGCAAGTTAGGATTATGTTCCTGCAAATTCATGGAGAAAATTGTAAGGATGGAAGAACACTGTCCAGCAGCTGTTGTCTGTGCCTTGCAGTGGTGGGATTGGAGGGGACAAGAGCAGTAGAGCTTAAGGGGTCAGGAACATCAAGGGGCTTTCAATGTATAAATAATCTGTCTCTTTTCAACTAACAAAGCACCATCACTGGCTCAGTGTATGTCCCTGGATTTAAGGCAAGTACCTGGTAGTAGTTGACACTGAAAACCAAGTCTATTAGATAACGTAAAACAGGCCTCCTCTGTGGTTTTGCTCTTAACTTGAATGCTCAGTCAGCTGTTAAAGGGCTAGAAACAGTTCTGTCAACATTATCTAAACAATGCAATGCATCTTTTTAGGGTATGAAAATGATTCTGTGGAGGACTTAAAAGAAATGACTGCAATATCCTCTCGGAAAAGAGGCAAGCGAAGATACTTCTGGGAGTACAGTGAGCAACTAACACCATCACAGCAAGAACGAATGCTGAGGCCATCCGAGTGGAATCGAGATACGTTACCAAGTAACATGTACCAGAAGAATGGTCTCCATCACGGTAAGAATAGAGTCCTCGTTACAAGTTAATCTCTCCCCTTCTGACACCTCTAGTAGCCAAACTCCCATACTTGCAAGTGCTGAGAAGTTGTGTTTTGGCCATGAAAATAAATAATTAAAACGCTGCAAATCTGTTGCTCACTTAGCAGAGCTCTGCAGAGTGTCCAAGGAAGCACAGTGAGCACACAGTGAGTAACTTTCAGTGTGGTTTCTTCCAGATGAAGGTGGATGAATTGAGAATTGTAACAGATTCACAGAATATTAGGAGTTGGAAGGGACCTTGAAAGCTCATCCAGTCCAACCTCCCTGCCAGAGCAGGATCACCCAGACCAGGTCACACAGGAACACAGCCAGACGGGTTTTGAATGTCTGCAGAGAAGGAGACTCTCCACCCTCTCTGGGCAGCCTGGGCCAGTGCTCCGTAACCCGCACAGTAAAAGTTTTTCCTCATGTTCAGATTGAACCTCCTATGCTCCAGCTTGCACCCATTGCCCCTTGTCCTGTCATTGGACATCAGAGAGAAGAGCCTGGCTCCTTCCTCCTGACACTCGCCCTTTACAAATTTATAAACATGAATGAGGTCCCCCCTCAGTCTCCTCTTCTCCAAGCTAAAGAGACCCAGCTCCCTCAGCCGCTCCTCATAAGGGAGATGCTCCACTCCCTCCATCATCTTTGTGGCTCTGCTGGACTCTTTCAAGCAATTCCCTGTCCTCCTTGAACTGAGAGCCCAGAACTGAACACAATATTCCAGATGTGGTCTCACCAGGGCAGAGTCTCTCTTTGCTCCTCCCTACTTGTTTCTCCCACCTATGTGAATGCAGCATAGTGAAGCAGTTACTCTTCTGTGAATAAACTACTTCTTTAAAAACTTAAACCAGTTGGTCTAAAAACTGGTTTATTTCCATAACTTTTTGATTAGCAATTTGCTGTACAACACAAGACGACTAACATCACCCAGAACAAACCACTCTTAGGAGTAATGTTTGTTTTCTTGCCACAAGATCTCTTTGGTAGGCTGCTCCATTTGATTTTGGCTTTGAAGGAGAAAATGAAACCAGCTTCCCTGGCTGTAATATTAACGTTCCCTTACAGTTGAAAATTACTATCTTTAACGTGGCAGTTTACCTTCAGTTAAACCAAAAGGGTTTTTTGTTGTTGTTACTTGTAGATTTATTCAGGGAAGAAAACTTTAAAAAAAAAATCTCCTTAGTTTTTATATACGTTTTAATCTTGTGGTGAAATACTGGTGGCTAAAGTCCCTATCACTGCTCCTTCTTATCTGTACTTGTTATTAAACAACAAATAACCAAACATTCCTTGAGGACTCAGTCCCACCAGACACTTGGAGGAGCAACTGATCTTTAGATCAAACACTACTTAACATCCAGAAGCTACAAAATATAACATGTGCAGGATTTTTTCATTTTCACGTACAGACATGTACCAAGGTCATCTACTACCTCAGATAAATCATGCTAAATTATCAGCGCTCTAATAAATATTCCTGGAGCAGGTTTTGTTAGTTTTATTAACATTTGCATGTAAGTGACTGTAACAATCAGCATTTTACATAGAAATCTATAAAAATACACATAGCAGTGGCAGAGAATATTAAGGAATAAAGATTTTGTCTTGAATATGTGTATTTCCTCAGGCAAACCAGACCTTGGATAGCTTCAGATGCATATAAAAAGGGCTGACTAGCCTTTATGTGGATCGTTTAAACTCGGTGTCACCAAAGATTGTTTCAGTGCGAGGCCTTAACAAAAAAATGAATACAGAACTTCAGCAATAAGATTATGTAGGAATCTAAACAACTTGAGCGTGCAAGAGGATATGTTGTCTGAACACGAGCTGGCAAGTTACAGATGGGGCAGAACAACTGGATTTGGACTTGTGATGTACATTTTGCAGCACGGTTGTGTGTACACTGTCTGTCACATCCAGTAGCCAGACCAGCAGTATTTGCTCTTATCTGATCTGGATATAATATGAATTGTACAAAGCAGCTTGTCTGGAAATGCTCTTTCTATTGTGAAAGGCCACAGGGATCACATGATTCCAGTCCATTCTCTTGTAAGAAACAAAGGAACTTAAAACACACACAAAAACCCCCCATATTTAAGAATGTTTTTTTCACAGCTTTGTGTACATATTGCGTCACTTCCCAACCCAATTTTCTGCGTGTTTAAAACAGGAAAATATGCAGCAAAGAAGTCACGGAGGACTGATGTAGAAGACCTGACTCCCAACCCCAGAAAACTTCTACAGATTGGAAATGAACTGAGGAAGTTGAATAAGGTGATCAGTGACCTGACGCCAGTCAGTGAACTTCCCTTAACTGCCAGGCCAAGGTCAAGAAAAGAAAAGAACAAGTTGGCTTCCAGGTATATATTAGATAACACTACATGGATGAGTGAATTTGAATTGCTACAACTGTACGATTAAAATCTAAGTATTTTTTGCCTCAAGAGATTCTGCTTCTGCAATGGGCTAATTACCAGTTTATCAAAAAGCAGGGCAAGTGGCACTTTGGAGATGTAGTTTGCCTGTTTCCTAGATAATTATGTATTTCCACTGGAAGCTTAGGTTAGCTGCAGGGCAAATGATTGATACAGTGATAAAATCCACAAGTGTGAAATGTAAGCAAACATAGGTAGTAGAGTGTTCTCAGCGAAGGTGAGTGAGTAGGTAGATGATTTTGTATGGCACAGCTCTGGGAGTGTTGGTCGATAAGTACGTGTGGCAAACAAACAGATGCTCTTAGTATTCTGGAGTTTTTGTTAGTGTTCTAATTCTTCCCCTCTTCTTACTATAGGGCTTGTAGACTAAAAAAGAAAGCCCAGTATGAAGCCAATAAAGTAAAACTCTGGGGTCTCAACACGGAATATGGTAAATACAACTCTTCACATCTTAATTTCTCTTTTGCTCAGACAAGTCTGTGTTTTGCACCGTCATGTAACCTGGGTCATACCTGGCAGTTTATAGAGAAAACAGGGTTGATAGAAATCTGACAATTTTTGGTACAAAACCAGTCCACTTCATAAAGTAAATTGGGTTACCTGCAGTGTTGAGCTACTTTACAGAGATAAATTTTGTAAATTTATGAATGTAAATATTGTTGAAAATATGTTTATATTACATCTTAATTTTACAGTAAGTGTGATGTGACATCTTTGACACTTAAAGATAACAGTATGTGGACAGCTATGGATCTCTCTTGCTCCAGGGGCAATGTGCTGTACATCTAATCCAGGTTTTTTCTTTGCAGATAATTTACTGTTTGTGATCAACTCCATTAAACAAGAAATAGTTAATCGGGTGCAGGTACCTAAAGATGACAGAGGAATCAACATGGAACAAAAGTTGAACATACTTATTAAAGACACTCTTGGTAAGCAGCAAACACAACGTATTTGTATGTATGTGAAGAGATGTATAATCTATGATCCATTAGATCGCAAACAATTTCTGCAATAGCGCAAAGAAAGAAGCGCTTCCTAATTTTAGTTGTCTGTGCCATTGGCTTGGTTACTAACCAAGGTGTTCACTGGATTTCAGTCATTTATAGGGGTGCACAAACGGGTGCAGTTACTAGTAACCTCACAGCACGTTTTCTTACCCTCCCTTTGTAGGACTGCCTGTAGCTGGACAGACGTCAGAATTCGTGAATCAAGTTTTAGAGAAGACTGCAGAAGGAGACCCCACCGGAGGCCTTGTAGGGCTACGAATACCAATGTCAAAAGTTTAAGACATAACTTCAGCTGTTCTCACTGGGCAGACTCCACCTGTGTTGTCAAGTACGTCGTTGTAAATTGCATTCTGGTCTGCATGTCAGTTTAGCATTACGTAAACACAATTAGGTTCCATTGTTTTTACATAACAATGTAGTAAACCAAATCAAAGCATGATATAAAATGCTTAATAGCATTTTTGGAGCATAAACCAGGTAGTTTCAAGCTGCTTTAAGCTTAAATGCAGAGATGAGGATTCTTTTTAAAATCAAGTTATGTAGGACCAGAATATATCACTTTTGTTTTAGAAGCAAAACCATGTTTTTGCTAGTAAAAAGTTTTAGTGTATGCCAGACATTGTGACAAGTTTATGCTCCAAGTAAAATAAGAGGAAGCATTTTTTTGGTAAAGCTGTCAATTTTAGGGAGGTTTTTTTTTTGTTTGTTGGGTTCTTTATTTTAATAATTGAATTTTATTTTCTTCCTAAAAACCAGTAAGCTTTCTTTGCAACCATTAACTTGTACATAGCACACGTGGCATTAGAGCTAGTGTGCCATATAAGACTTTGATTTTCTGAGCTTAATATAGTATTTAAATGTCTGTGCAAGCAAGAGAAAAAAAAGTATATTCTTTGTGCCTTGTATTTTGGGAGGAGAGCTATCAGTATAAGCTGGTAAAGTTTTGTATGAAGAAAACCCTGAGGGGAAAAATCAAGATGTATAGATGGTAAGATTATAGGTTTTAATGTATTTGTTCCAGCTCTTAAAATTTTTGAATGTATATAGGAATATGTTGAAAATGTAGATATATGCCACAGAGTCTATGTATTGTATAAAAGATGGCTCTAGAAAACTCAATTTCGGTACTTTGGCCGGAAGAAAACAAATACTTGCACATTAATGCGATTGTTTATTTTTGTACCAAAGACAAATGCAACTGATATGGCGAACTGCCAGTCTAAGTAAAGTTTTGCACAGCTTACATGATACTGTACTGAATGTAAAAACAAATGAAAAAAAAAAAGAAAAAAAATTAAAGGTCAGGGTTAGGGATCTTACTGAACTGTGAATTTTTTTGTTTGGGTCCAATTATCTACAGAAGGAGCATTCATACATAACAATATTATTTTGCTGTTCTTGTAGTTCGCTTCCATGGTAGATAAGTTGGTGGCCATCTCGGAGTCTTTAAATCTTTTTTCTCTGCACTTACTGTAGGAGATTTTAATATATTTGGATTTTAGTAAGCTATTGGTAAAATAGTTTTCAACTTTGAGAATTAAAAAAAACTATTTAGCTTGTTGTAGTATACTTCCACCAAACAACCAAAATAAAATTATTTTTATTGTAATGTGTATATATGTAAAGAGAAAAAAGAGCTACAGATATCTAATTCCTTAGTTGCCACTTTTCCAGTTGATGTATTATTATGCATGTGATGTTTCCAAGGATCAACACAGGCTTCAAACAAAACAAAAAAAGTTTATAGACTTTTATATTTTTGTACAGGTATTTCGAAACTAGCTTCTTCAAACTTATATGTGACTTATTCTTGTTAATTCAGTAGTTTCTATGATTGAGGAATATTAACACACAGTTCTTATTTGCTCTTCTGCTAATAAGAGTTGGCTTTGTAGTCAGTGTTAACGTACAGATTAAAAGCTTTAGCCTTTGATGAGAAAGTCCTTTATCTCAAGGCAAGATCATTCTCTGGTTTCATGGACCCCCCCTTTTCCTCCCTGTTCTTTCTCTCCCTATTTAAAGATGACAAAACACTGTTTACTGAAAATAGAAATACCAAATATTTTCAAATGTAGCTGCTGAAAAAAAAATGCAAAAGTCCATGAAGGCTTTCTCCCCACTCCCTTTGGGGAATTTCTCCACTTCATTTCTAGTTTGTCTAAGTTTGTTTGTACTGTGATTCCTTTTTGTTTATAAGTAGATTATTTTTATATCCAAGCTTGTACTATGTAAAAAAAAAAAAAAAAGTCTGAACTGGTAATAGTGCAGTAGGAGTGGCTGGTGAAGGTGGCAGTCCTGCCACGTACTTGTGAGTGTGCACACAGCTTACTTTGTGTCTAATTATTTTGGAAGACTCAAAAGGGAGGAGGAGGCCAAAATACCACTACTGAGCTGTACAGAAAGTCTTTCCTACAAGAGACTGAACAAATAACCAGGGCAATTTAGGCAAAACTTTGTAAATCCACTTAAGACTTGCAAAATCCGAGTGGAATGTGGGTAGGTTTGTTTCAGGTGGTGGTGGTAGGGTGAGGTGAGAGTTGGCTGCTGCTTCCTACAGTGGGTCGATGTATTCCTGTTGTAATCATTGCCGATGTTGCAGTTATTCTGGAGATACAGACAGCCCATAAAACCCCGACAGAGAATGTCTCTTGTGAAGTTACGGCCGTGTCTGCCAGGATTTGAATACTGCTGTTCCTCTCTGAGGAATGGAGTGAACGCACTGCTCGGACACGAGGGCCTTATGCTATACCCGAACTGTGTAGACAAGGCCGTGTCTCTACACGTAAAGAGAGCAGTTTTGCAATCAGGTAAAAACTTTGGTGGCAAACTGACAAGGTATTAAAAGCCCCTTTTTGCTGCTCAGAAATACTGGGCAGATAGAACTTTATAGCTTTTTATTTTTGTCTGAAAACCAGAATATGATTTTGGTCTAGCATTTCAAAGTAGACTTTGAATCTTTAGTGAATTCCATACCTTTGCATTTCAGTGTTTTCTATGTATTATTTTAAGTTAAAGCTTTTAAATAGTTGAGCTTTTTAATGTTGACACTTTATTTTGTACCTATTTATATGTGTGTATATCTTAGAAAAGCACTTTGTTTAAAAAGGAAAAAAAAAAAAAAAGAAACTGCGTTTTATATGATTCCTGCCACTTGCTGCTAACTCTGGGCTGGTCAGAATGCTGCAGCGATACTTGATATAAATAAAACCTGGCAGTAAAATGTAGAGTAAAGAGAAGACCTTTTGCTGGTTTAACTTTATCATCAAGGTGACATAGGCAAGCTGTGCAGCTTTACATTTTAACCAGGGGACTCTGTGGCATTTAAACCGTCTAGAAATGGTTGTACTTTAATGCCAGTAACAATCTGCTTCCTCTAGTGTCATTAAAATATATACATTTAGTGTATACTTATCACAAACAAAAATCTTATAAGGGTATAAAAACCAACAAATGTACATGTTCTGTTTTCTGGCAATTGTGGCATGCATTTTTGGATGGTCTTTAGAGAATACAGTTTTCTAAAGATTTTCAGTGTTCATACATGGTATGTGGATCTTAATGAAGTCCTGGAATTTCTGTTTGTTTGTTTTTGAGTGTAGGCATTGTGGATATTCACTTTTAATCCTATATCCAAAAACAATTACACGGTTTTGATTTAATGCAAACAACAGCTCTTCCTTTTTCTGATACACTGGATTCTCTAGAATTTGTTTCCATATTAAAAGCATGCTGTCATAACTGCTCTTGTTGAGATCTCGTCAGTCTGAACTTAGGTGCCACACTTTGAATCGCTGGACTGCTTGTTCTACTGTACCATGTATGATTCTCGTCCTTTCCTGATTCCTTCATGACAGATGATGATGTGGCTTTATATTGTGCCTTACTTGTACTTCTAGAACTAAATGTTTCTCATTCCCTCAGAACTGTTGAAACCTAACCCTTCTGAAATGGAATCAGAGCTGATAAAAGCATCCTGCAGGAGGTCTGGCTAGGTCTGATTTCAGTTTCTCTCACTGTAGTAGTCCTTTTGTACTTACATGGAAGACCAGTTTTTGAATGGCCTTGCAAAACGTGGGGGTGCTCACGAAGGGTGTTTTTTAGCCCTAAACTCCTTTTGCTAACGCTTCCTTTTATGGTTTATTGAACACATTTACTGATACTTGGTGAGTAGTTTTTTTTCAGATGAGAGAGACTTATTACTAAAGCTATGTTTACGTGTGGATGGGCTGGATTTTCTTATCATACCGGTTGAAATCATTGTGATTTAATGAAGTTGCATTGCTGTAAAGCTGATACGAGAGTCAGGCTCAGCTGTGTTCAGTTCCTGATTTGTTATAGACAGCAGAAGTTTTTCCATACTAAGAGGGCCAGGGGAAAAAAAAGTGTGGGGGTTTTGTTGTTTGTTTGTTGTTTGGCTTGTTTATTTAAAAACACAAGCAAACAAAAAATGGATGAAGGGTCTTTTAACTAACCTAAAAGCAACCAGACACTTCTGAAATACAGTGGTGTCAGTTTTGATTTTATTTTAAAAAAGATCCCCTCCTAATACTTATCTGGTGTTTGCCTTCATTAATAAAACAGTCACCTTAGTCATAAAATACGAAGACTGGATGTGTTTTGTTTTCCATAAAGCATTTAAACATGGCTGTTTTTTAAAAAGCTCCAAAAGGCTTTATCAGGAGAATTTCAAAGGGTTGTATACAAGTTGCCTTCAGCAGAAATAGCAAATGCAATTCTGTTCCTCAACCGCGCTTGCTCTAGTCTTCCTGAACTTCTGTTGAGGCATAACCCAGTTTTGTACCGTGAACGTTAGGATCCGAATTTGACCTTGAGATCTGAATTTCAAGACTGCATCTAATCATTATTTTATTTTCTTCTTAAGTTGGAGGCTTCAGTTGGAATCATCTGGTTTAAGTGTGCTGCTAGATGTGGTCTTGGCTTATTGGCACAGCCTTGCACACAGCTGAGGTGTATTCTGTTTACCCCAGGGATCGTGTGAAGTACATTTCAAACAGTCACTCCTTCAGAGACTGATTCTTCTTGTAACTGTATTAAGGGCATTAGTATGTTGAGAAAACACCACTCTTTAAAATCTCCCCATGCAAAGTGGGATTCTTAAATGTCATTAATGAAAGATGGCACTTTTAGGTTGTATCTTCTTTGCAGCATACAGAAATGTCTCTCTTTCTACCATTTACGTTTCACAGTATGCCATGTTTTTTCCCCCAATGCTTCTAGCATGGTAAGGAGGTGAGTGTGCGCACTGAATTATAATCCTC